AGCTCTGTTCCTCTGAATCCAGTTCCTCACTGCTTTAGCCCACTCTGCCTCTAGGCTCACCTTAACTAATTCTCCTTCTTTCTCCTCACTCATCGTCCTTCTCCTAACACACACACCACATTGCCCATCTTCATCTCTCCTGTTACTTGTTATGGCAAGTTACAATACTCACCGGATTTCCATACCAAGGCAGAGGTACATGCTTAAAACCTGTTTCCCTTGATGTGGGAGAAGTTACTGTAATATGAAATATGCCTTAGTGCTAATCTCATCACACTTTAGTGGGTTCATGGGATCCTAAAGGCAAGATGTAGAAGGACCTTAGAAATGATCTTGTGAACTATCTCTTTCATTTTAGAAAAAAAAACTTAGTCCCAGAGAAACTCATCTGAATTTAACAAGGTTTTAGAGTTGAAAGCAACTGAGGCACATTCTGGTTCTCTTAGTGAGGGGTGTGCATGATGTGCTGTCTCAGGTTAGTAACTCATCAGTCTTCTTTATGACATCTGCTGACTTATGGCCTCTTTTGATTATGGTCTGTGCTGACTCGTTCCCTCGGTGGTTGATTCAGAGAGTGCCCATTGCTAACTCTGTTTATGTCCTGCCTTCAAACCTCCTAAGAGAAAAGGACTTGTCGGGGGGCCAGCAGGTGGCGTAAGGGTTACACTGGACTCCTACTTAGTCTGCTGCAGTTAGAGTCCCAGACCCAGTAGCTTAAAAAAAATTGACACTGGGTGTGTGGGTATGCATGCCCAAGATCCAGAGAGGAGAATGAAGGAGAAGGGATTGCAGCATGGCCATCCCCCCGGAGAGTGATTTCTTGCTTTCTGTCTCTCTGGTGAGCGGGTGTGCCCTGTGGACAAAAGAAAAACAAATCTCTCTTTAAAAATAGATATAAAGGACTTTTGGTTCATTTGGTTTTATAGTTACTTGTTTTGGATGCAATACCTGTGCCAGACCATCTTAAAGCTTGTCACCTGGCCTATGGATTAGCTGTCCTTGGGTCCATCACATGTGCCCAGGCAGGCCTTTGTTTTCATCAGAAGGGACTTCGGAGGTGGCAGGCACTAACTTGCATCGAATCTCCTCTCCAGGCAGACTTCTCCTGACTGTTAGTGATGAGGCGAGGGCTGAAATCTAGCCATTCGCTCCTAATTCGGTGCTCTTCCTAATATGCCTAACTCGCTGGTTTCTTGATGATTCCATGTATTTCTTCCTCACCAGTTTCCTGTGCCTTAGCATCATGCTTACTTCTTTATTAGCAGTGCTAAAGAAGGACAATTCCATAGAGTATATCAACAACAACATAAAGACTGTGTACTCTGCCAGCTTCCAAATAATCATACACACATTTCAAACATGTAAATATTTCCTCTTCAGTAATTACCATTTTTCTCCACACTGGTTTTGGTTTTCTCTCTCGAAAAGACATCAACAAACCAGGTCATCCTCTCTTTCTTTCTTGTAATGCTCTACTCTGACTTGCTTTTCAGAAAGCATTTGCTTGAACATCTCTTTGAGAATAAACTATATCCAATAGCAACTGTATGGGCCAGAGCCTGCTCAACTCTGGTCCCTGTTATTTTTTAAAGTTTTTTTTTTTTTCTTCCCCTCAGAATGCATTCGCTTGCTGGAGAAAGACAGAGATAGACAGCAAGAGGGAAAGTGAGAAATCACTCACTACGGGAGATGGCCACGCCATAATCCCTTCTCCTCCATTCCCCTCCTGGGAGTCTGGGCACACACACAAACGTGCTCAGTGTGATTTTCAAACTGCCAGGCCCAGGACTAGAACAGCAATTCGGCCATGTGGGAGTCCAGCACCTTAACCATCATGCCACTTGCTGATCTTTGGTCCTTGATTTTTTTGAAGGCATTTGTTGTTTGGGTATTAGACAGAATCTGCTGTACAAAGCATCGGCAAGGAGATGGCAACACCACAGTCTTTCTGGTGATTTAGAAACCTTGGGATGTTGTCCAGAACCATGTTCTCCCTTAAATAACTCTTTCAGAAATTGCTGCACTTAAGCATGCACTCTTCACTGACAGTATCACACCTGCTTGCCTGTCCTCTGACATTTGAACAGTTCAGGATATTGCTTAAAGCAGTGTTTGTGGGACCAGCAGTTAGTGTAATGGCTATGTCACTGGACTCCCACGTAATCGACCGTGGCTTGCATCCCAGACCCGGTGGCTTAAAACTCACACCGGGCGCGTGTGCGTGCGTGCCCAAGATCCTGAGAGGAGAATGGAGAAGGAATTGCGGCGTGGCCATCCCCCCTGGGGGGTGATTTCTCGCTGTCTCTCTGTCTGTCTTGCTGGTGAGCGCACGTGCCCTATAGCAAAAACCTCTCCCCCAAATAAATAAATAAATAAATAAATAAAGCAGTGTTTGCAGCTTTCCAACATTCCTAAGCATCTGCTAGATTATCTATGATCCCCAGGTAAATACTAGTTACCCATTTATCTGGACGGTATTTATCTGCTATCTAATTGTTTGCTTGATAGGTGTGAAGAATGGAAGGTTTGACACAGAGAATCACATACAATGGGACAGCTTGATTTGCCAGGGCAGTGCTGTGATATTCTGGCAAAGGCTATGTTGAAACCTGCTTGTAAACATCAAGGGATCGGAGCCAACCAATGACTATCCTGATGAAGAATTCATTAATAAGCACTCTCTGAAAATAGCTAGGATAGTCGAGTGGTCTTTTGGATCCAGGTTAGTTAGAATAACCTGTCATTTGAAGCAGTTACAAATACTCCTATTTGGATCGGACCAAGAAACACAGTTACAAGAATAAGACACCAGTATTCTCCCGGATGTCTTCAACCTTTTGGTACAAAAGTATCGCACTTCACATAGAAGTTGTTTTCCATCTTTATTAATAAGCACAGCTTCTAAGGTTTGCTGAATAAGAACACCTTCACTGAGAGAATCTAGATGTATGATTGCCTCCAATGTATTTATGCACACTTTGAGATGCTAAATAAAATCTGGTTACAGTTTTTATGATGCTTTCATAAAAGTTTTCATTGAAATCTTATAGCTCTGGCTTAGCTTCTAGTTTTGCTTTCCCATAATCTTGTACTCTTAAAATAGCTGAAATCAAACACGAAATCTCCATATTTCTGTGAGTCAGCTCTTTATTCTAAAGATGTATAAAAATGTTTATTATTTATTTTTATAGGTGCAGTATTCCTTTTCACAGTATGCATCCAGTGTATAATTTTGTAAAATCACAGACATATTAATCTTCTTCAGTATTAAACATGACATTCTCTTGGGCTCTTTTAATCTGAACACAGCAGG